ACCACCAGCAGATATCTCAGCAGCAGCAGCGGATTTCGAGCACCAGCAGCAAATCTCGAGGGAAAGCAGCTGATCTCGCAGCAGGAGCAGATCGCGCAGCTACACCAGCAGATCTCGCGCGCCAGCAGCAAAATCTAGCGCGTCAGCAGCAGAATCTCGCGCGCCTGGAGCAAATCTCGAGCGCCAGCAGCAAACCTCCGCGCCAGCAGCAGATCTCCGCGCCAGCAGCAAATCTCGCACGCCAGTAGCAGAATCTAGCGTTCCAGCAGCAGAAATTCGCGCGCTAGGAGCAAATCTCGGGCTCCAGCAGCAAACCTCCAGCAGCATATCTCCGCGTCAGCAGGAAATCTCGCGCGCAAGCAGCGATTCGCGAGCGCCAGCAGCAATCATGAGCACCAGCAGCAAATCTCGAAGCTGCAGCAGCAAATCGTGAGCACCAGCAGCAAATCTCGAAGCTGCAGCAGCAAATCGTGAGCACCAGCAGCAAATCTCGAGGCTGCAGCAGCAAATCGTGAGCAAAGCAGCAGATCGCGAGCACCGGCAGCAGATTTCGTAACAGGAGAAGATCGCGAGCACCGACCTCAGATCGCGCAGCGACAGTACCAGATCTCGTAGCGGCAGCACCAGATCGCGTGGGAGGAACGGCAGGCCGCACGTCAACACTAATGACAGTGCGTGAGAAGCAGCGGTTGCATAGCATCAGCAATAGCAGGGTCTCGTAACATCAGCAGCAGCCCTAAGGCGCAGACAGCAATAGCATGCCGAAATCTCGCCAGTCGCACCAGCGTCTCACTACTAACGTAATTCGCGATTTGCCCTGCACAAGTACTGTAAACTCGCCACCGCATCAACCTCAAGAAGTGACGATCTCGTCATGTGGAGTGAAACGAGGGTCAGGATAATCTTAGTAGCAATGGCGGATGAGTAGTAGTAAAGGGTGCAAGGTTTAGGTAGGTGTGCTGTTCTAAACTAGATCTAGAAATGATTTTTGGACTAGGTGGCAGGTCCGTAAACCTGCCACAATATAAGGAGCGATAGACTCCTTACTGCATTCTCCTTTACGTGTATTGTCATAATCTTTAAATTTTGAAATTTATTTCATAATTTTTCATAACCTGCTCAGGAACCCCATCCGCTCCATCGTGCCGAAGAGGTATTCGCGCGAGACAGAGTCGAAGGCCTTTTGAAAGTCCACGAGCAGGAGGTACCAGTCCGCATCCTTGCATTTCGCTGCATCAACAATGTCCGTGATCAGTGAGACCCCGTCTGAAAGCCTTCTTCCCGGTAAGAAGCCGTACTGCTCCTCCGAAACGACCTTGTGCAACACCTTCCTCATTCTATTTGCGAGTATCCGCGCCACTAGCTTGTACGTGCCGTTGAGAAGTGTGATAGGCCGGTAGTTATCACCTGATCCTTCGCTCCTTTTTTATGCAGCACGACGGTGACCGCCTCCAGCGCAGCGGGAGGAAGGGCTGCCGACACCTCAAACTGCTTCACGAAGCCAAACAGGTCCCCACCCAGCAAGTCCTAATGATGACTGAAGAACTCCTTCGGAATCCCATCTGCACCAGGGGACTTGCTCGTTGCCATGCCATCGAGGGCCTCCTTAACTTCTGCCTCCGACCATTCCACCTCCAGCAGCTGGATCTGCTCCTCCCCCAACCTCTTGTCGGGAGCGGTCGGCCAGTGAGAGCGATCCGCGGATGGAGCAGGCTCCGAAAACAGCTCCACGTAAAACTCTGAGGCAGCCTCCAGTATCCCCTTTGAATCTTTCCGTTCCGTTCCTTTCCATTGCAGAGACGTGATCATTGTTCTCTCCTTCCGCGTCTTCACTTTCGCAGACAAAAGCTTGTTAGGCCTTTCCCCTTCCCGCAGCTACTTTACACCAGCCATGAGGGACAACCTCTCCTGCTCTGAGGCAAGATACGTCGCGAGCTGCGACTCCTTCACCCTCAACTCCTCCTTCCGGACGGTGCAATACGGGTTCCGCATCACTTCCTGCTGGAGCACCGCTACTGCCGTATAAAGGTGACGTAAATTTGCTTTAACACACTTCCGTTCCTCCATTGAGTACCTTCGCAGCGCCATGTTCAGCTTTTGCATGAGCATGCTGAAGTCCCCCGACCCCTCCTTTTCATGTTTTTCCCGAACCGCGGCCACCGCTTTTGCCGCTCCAGGTTTCCCGATCTCTGCTGCCTTGCATCTCCATATTCCCGGCCCCATATACAACTGCAGATTGACCTTGAAAGACACCTTCACCCCGAACCAGTGGTCCAAGAGACCCTTCAGCGGACGGCAGTGTGACGCATCAGAAAGCTGCGGCAACAGCGACGCCGAGATGAGAGCCTGGTCAATACGTGAGCTGGTTCTGGCTGACCTGGACAGAAAAGTAAACTCCTTCAGCACCGGATTTATCCCGCGGAAGGCATCAGTGAGGCAGTGTGTTGAGCAAATCCGCATCACGCTGTCATTTTCCCCCGACGATCCCGCCGCGGATGATCTATCAAGAAGTGGGTCCTCCACCATGTTAAGATCTCCAATCAGCATGATTTTTTTCTTTCCCGCAGAGTGCGCCATGAAGGGAGCAAGCACACCAGCGTAAAACGGACAGCGCCTGCAGGCCTTCGCTGGGAAATAAGCGGCCAGAATCGTACAACAGAAAGAGTCCCACTGGACGTCAACCTGGAGCAACCGGCCTGGACAGTGCGTGACAACGTTAGTAAAGGTCAAAGATTTGTTAAAACTGATAATTGTCAGAATATTATTATCTAGCCTGTAGTGGGGTGCTCTATAGCGAGTACAACCCTGTTCGGGTTTGCTATATGTATCCCAACTGCTGCTAGTGAAACCCCTCCTCCTTTCTTCATTCTCACTTTCTACTGCTGATTCTGACAATAATAGCCACCCCCCTGCCTTTCCCGCAGGGCCGATCGCGTGACAGTGCGGGGCTTTGAGTCTCTTCCGCAAGTCATGGTCTGCTCCGATGTGTGTGTCGACTAAGGCAAAAATATCTGGTGGTTTCTTAATCCATGCCTTGAGATGTTTCTGCTTCCCTCTGCTTCCGAGCCCGTTGACATTGAGCTCGTGTATCGTCAGGTAGGAGGCTTTATTCATTGGGAAATCGTCGAGAAGCCCCAAGCATCCACGGGCTGAGCGAGACACGGACAACAGTTTCATAATAGGCAAGTACAGACTCGAATGACCCTACTGACTCTGACACGTCCTTGACCGGAGTGCTGCCATCCCTCCATCCTCCTACAGACAAAAATCCTTCTTCCGATGTTTGAGGTTGATCTTCCCCTTCAACACATGAAGTGACTCCCCTGCTTTCAGAGCTCCGTGGCGGTGATGCTGGGATAACGCATGATGCGCGGCTTGCTCGAATGATGAGCCATGGGCCTTCTCGCAACTGTCCTGAAGGCAAACCCACTCCTCCCGATTGCCACTGGTAGAGATGAGGACCAGGGACGGGTCCTTGAGAATGATCTTGGTTGTATCTGATGCATTGGTCGCAGCAGGTGTGGAGCAACAATGTGAGAAACCGAGTAAAAACGGAAAGGTAAAGCGACAGCGAAATGAAGATAGTCTCTGCAGCAACGACGAAAACAGCTCGGCTACCGTTCGGCTCATGGACCTTCCCAGCGGTAAGGTGCCATTTGGTGATGTTGTTCTGCCGCTCGATGACGAAATCATTATGATTGTGGATCGAGTGATGACCTCCGCACAAGCTACACGTCAAGGCCGGGTAATAGATCAGCAGAGTCTCATCATTGTTGAGCGGGTTCTCAATGTAATGCTTCCAGCGGTAAAGATCGCCTTCATGAGCAACCACCAGGCCCTTAACCCTGTCTGTGTCAAGGCCGGTAACTGAGTTGACAGCGCGGTGGAAGCAGAGTCCATCCTTAAAAACTGACTTCTTCTTCTTTTTCAGTGGAGCCATCAGCATCCCTTGCAGCATCGCAGGAGAAATTTCGACGGGGACAGCCTTGAAATATAGCTCAATAACGGCCGGATTCGTCGCCTTCTGCCTGGCATAAGCAGCATCCACCGGGTATTGCCAGTCAAAGGTAACGTAAGCGCCATTCTTGCATTTATGCTCAACTTGATTGCGCCACACAAAGTTAGCATCAGATGCCTTGTCAAAAGTAACTTGCATACGACCATAAAGTTTCTTAAACAGGTAAACCGGCGTCAGCTCCTGAAATGTCGTGGTGATCTGAGCTTCATCTGACAACTCCTCCTTCCAAATCCCCAACAACCCCTTGATTGTCTGCTGCGTGCGAGGCACCTCATGCAGGAAATCGTCAGGAACCAAGAGGGTGATCGGATAGCGGGAACGTGATGCGACAGCTCCCTTCGACACCTCCTCCACCTCCTCATCTGAGTCATAAGCGATGAGCCCGTCGTCCTCATCATTCAGCAAGTGCGCAACACCAGACGGCCCCGAGCCATCATCAGGTGCATCTTCCTCTTCCTCATGGCTTCCGTCCTCTCCTTCAGAAACCGTATCAGAGACCGCATCCTTGAAAATAGCCTTCTATTTGCCCTTCTTGTCGCCATTCGCAGCTTCCTCAATACGGATGGCGGCGAGCTTCGCCGAAAGCGCCAGCGACTCAGATTCATCAGGCTGGAAGGGACCCTTGGCCGCTTTCATGGCAGTAGCAGGCTTAAGCGGCAGTCTTGACATTGACTTCGGCTTAGCAGGGGTCGTTGCCGGTGGAGCGTTAGGAACAGCAGAGGCCGTGGAAGCAGCGGCCATTGTAGGAGCTCCAGCAGCAGCAGCAGCAGCAGCAACAGCTTTCCCGTTCTTGACTCATGGAGGCATCGTGCGATGAAGAAAGGAAAACCACCAGAGCCAGTATGATACTGGAGAAGTATAAAACCTGAGCACGGAAAGAATGCCACTTGTAGTAGGAACCATGACTGCATCTTGTTGCCTCAGTAGTGCCATATTGCTTGGAAGAAGCCTTGGGAATAACCTTGGAAGCTCAACATTGAGATCACCTCGCATGAAAATCCCGAGACCATGGCTGCGGCTCGTCCTCAGGGGCAAGATCCATGGCTGTCGTGAGGCGGAGAGCATTGTCATTGTATCTGGCCGAATAATCGGAGAATGCTTGGGTAGAAAATGACATTTTCTTTTGTGCAAGGTCAACAGGGAGGGAAGGGAGATGCAGGGAGAGAAAGGAGAGGAGGGAGGGAAGGGAGAAAATGGCGGGAAGGGAGAGAAGGGAGGGAAACCAAAGAAGGGAGGGAAGGGAGAAAAGGGAGGGAAGGGAGAGACGGGAGGGAAGGGAGAGAAGGGAGGGAAGGGAGAGAAGGGAGAGAAGGGAGGGCAGGGAGAGAAGGGAGAGAAGGGAGGGAAGGGAGACAACGGCGGGACGGGAGAGAAGGGAAATCGCGGGGAGGTAAGAGAGGGAAGGGAGGGAAGGGAGGAAAGGGAGGGAGGGGACGGAAGGGACTGCAGGAAGAGACCATGGATGGGAAAAAAGGGAGGGGAGGGAGTGAAGGGAGGAAAGGGAGAGAATGGGAGAATGAGAGGCGGAGATGTGGATGCAGGGACGGGGAGAGGGGTGTGCAGGGACGGGGAGAGGGGGATGCAGGGATGGGGAGAGGGGGATGCAGGGATGGGGAGAGGGGGATGCAGGGACGGGGAGAGGGGGATGCTGGGATGGGGAGAGGGGGATGCAGGGATGGGGAGAAGGGGATGCAGGGACGGGGAGAGGGGGATGCTGGGATGGGGAGAGGGGGATGCAGGGACGGGGAGAGGGGGATGCTGGGATGGGGAGAGGGGGATGCTGGGATGGGGAGAGGGGGATGCTGGGATGGGGAGAGGGGGATGCTGGGACGGGGAGAGGGGGATGCTGGGATGGGGAGAGGGGGATGCAGGGATGGGGAGAAGGGGATGCAGGGACGGGGAGAGGGGGATGCTGGGATGGGGAGAGGGGGATGCTAGGATGGGGAGAGGGGGATGCTGGGACGGGGAGAGGGGGATGCTGGGATGGGGAGAGGGGGATGCAGGGATGGGGAGAAGGGGATGCAGGGACGGGGAGAGGGGGATGCTGGGATGGGGAGAGGGGGATGCTGGGATGGGGAGAAGGGGATGCAGGGACGGGGAGAAGGGGATGCAGAGACGGGGAGAGGGGGATGCAGGGATGGGGAGAGGGGGGTGCAGGGATGGGGAGAGGGGGATGCAGGGATGGGGAGAGGGGGATGCAGGGATGGGGAGAGGGGTGTGCAGGGATGGGGAGAGGGGTGTGCAGGGATGGGGAGAGGGGTGTGCAGGGATGGGGAGAGGGGTGTGCAGGGATGGGCAGAGGGAAACGAGGGAAGGGAGGGAAGCGAGGGAAACGAGGGAAGGGAGATCGGGAGGTGGGAATGGGAGAAGGGGAGGCAGGAATGGGAGAAAGGGAGGCACGACGGGGAGAACGGGATGCGGAAAGGGGAGAACGGGATGGGGAAAGGGGAGAACGGGATGCGGAAAGGGGAGAACGGGATGCGGAAAGGGGAGAACGGGATGCGGAAAGGGGAGAACGGGATGCGGAAAGGGGAGAACGGGATGCGGAAAGGGGAGAACGGGATGCGAAAAGGGGAGAACGGGATGCGGAAAGGGGAGAACGGGATGGGGAAAGGGGAGAACGGGATGGGGTCAGGGGAGTACGGGATGGGGAAAGGGGAGATTGGGAGGCGAATAAGGGCCCGCATGTTGTGGCGCGGTGCGCGTGATCAAGGTGGCGTGCGGAGGCAACGTGAGGAGGCGAGGTGATGTTGCCGTGTGCGGATTAGCGTCACTTGCGACGCCGTGACGGGCGTTGTGGCGAAGCTACGACGCGATGTCCGGCGAGGCAGCGTGCTGGGACTCGAGGGAGGCGATTTGCGGCGAGCGGACCATGCAAAAGAGGGATCTCCTAGGCTGCGTGGGGAGGCAAGGAGACCACTACGGAAAGCGCGGCGAAGCGGCGAGGAGAGGCGAAGTGAGGGGCAGCGGAAGAAGGCGTGACAAGATTCCACATTATGCGGGCTCGTCGGTTCGCGCGCGTGATCGCAACCCTACGAGTGGCCAGGCCGGCTGCCACACTAAACGTACGATTGACGCGACGGCGACGCCCGCCACGACTAAACGACTGGATGTATATTCGTCGACTTTGGCGCCGGCGAGCCTAAGGGATCTGCTATGGTCGCGTCGCACTTCAATGCTATTGGTATGTTTTTTCCTAGTAGTGCAGGCTGAGAACGCTACGAGAGTGCGGTGGTGCGGGGGGAATTGAATTAGTATACTTTTGGCATCTATAAAGTTTTGACACTCGACTGGGCTCACTGGGTGGGGAGGGAACCCCTCGTTTCTCGAGAGAGAAGTTGGGTGGCACGTAATTCGGTAACCACCATGTACCTTTTATAAACTTTTGGCACTGGCCCTGCCAAATGTATACTGCTGCTTTAACAAATGTGAGCCTTGTAACATGTAGACGTTCCAGAATCAGTGCGAAGAAAATGGCGCATCTTTCCCAGAGTGATTTTTTGCTTCGGTGACTGCGCTTCAAGGCTAGGCCTGGTAATTTTGATTTTCCGAGCCTGATGCTCTGGTGGTGTCACAAGCACCCCGAAAGTGCTGGTGGTCGTGGTGTCACCCAGAGCTCATCAACCTTACCAACAGCGGTCCAATGACGTGGTCTCCTTCGGAGTCACTGTGTCCGACGTGGCTCGCTTTCGTGATCCCGACAGCGAATGAGAAATCAGATTCGCACTTCCATGACCCCACAGTTATTGGCAGCAGAATCCGGCGAACACGATGCCCCCTTGCCTGGAGAAGCGAGCCGAGCCCTAGCCAGGAGGATCCCCCCCTCTCAACGCTGCTCCCTGTGCAACTGGGTAGGCTGCTGCTCCCGCTCACACCAAGGTTCGTTTTGCCAGGGAAGCTCTGCCCTGTCATCTGTATGACATCTGGTTGACACACTCCGGGATCTTTTATCTCACGGCAGCCATAACTCCTCGACGAGCTCTCCTCGTGTCGGTCCTTGCCCGAGGAAAGCCAACCGTTGGAGGTTAGCTTGCACGAGGTGATCGATTTTTCGATCCTTCCCAGTCGTCAGTCTTCCTTTCTGACTGGTTTGTCCCGACAAGCCCGACATGGCTTCCGTCAGCTATGTTGCTGCTCGTGGGATTTCCACCCTTCCCCGCGCGGAAGGTGTGGAGGCCTTCAAGGCCAAGGAGCAGGTTCACCTCAAGGAAAGCTCGTTGCTTGGGGAGAAGCTCAATGTCGCTCGTCGTCAGGCCGTTCCTGTCGCCAGGACAATCGCTCCCGTCTCAGCTTCCCTGTCGTCTGGCCCTCCCAGGAGCCACAAGCTCCGAGCTAGCAGCGCTGCCGCTCTCGAGCAATTGAGGGTCTCCAATACAAACAGTACGTGCTGAAAGTTCTACGTTCATAAAAAAATAGAATTTGTTTTCTGAAATGAAACCATGACCGCAACGGGAGATTAATGACACATTGTTTAATTCTACCCCTGTTGCTCTTCAGGATACACAAGCGAGAAGAGCAGCATCATTGTCGTCGGTCTGAGCGTTCACACCGCTCCCGTTTCGATGCGTGAGAAGCTGGCCGTTCCTGAAGCCGAGTGGCCACGCGCCATCACGGAACTCTGCGAGTACCCCCACATTGAGGAAGCCGGTGTTCTGAGCACATGCAATCGCATGGAAATCTACGTCGTGGCGCTCTCCTGGCACAGGGGCATTCGCGAGGTCACTGAGTGGATGTCAAAGGTAAGCCGATTCTGCTTCGCAAATCTAGCCGTGCAGCCTGATCACCATGCATATATTAGGTTTTCAAATACTGTTCCGTACTAAGTCCTTTCCTTTCGTATTCTCCCTTTGTACCTACCTACAGTCGAGCGGTGTTCCCGTCGAGGAGCTCCGCCCGCATCTCTTCCTGCTCCGTCAAAGGGACGCTACGCAGCACCTTCTCCGCGTCTCATCCGGCCTCGACTCTCTGGTGCTCGGAGAGGGTCAGATCCTCGCTCAGGTTAAGCAGGTCTTCAAGGTTGGCCAGTTAGCTGAGGGCTTTGGACGCAATCTCAACGGTCTCTTCAAGCAGGCGATCGAGGCCGGTAAGCGTGTGCGTACCGAAACCAGCATCGCGTCGGGTGCCGTGTCCGTCAGCTCTGCTGCCGTTGAGCTCGCCGCGATGAAGCTTCCCGAAGCTGGCCTGAAGGAAGCTCGCGTCATGATCGTCGGCGCTGGGAAGATGTCCCGTCTCCTTGTGAAGCATCTGCTCTCTAAGGGTTGCAACACCATGACCGTTGTGAACAGGTCCCTAGGCAGTGTAGAGACGCTGCAGTCTGAATTTCCCGACGCCACGCTTCTCTACAGGCCTCTTCCTGAGATGATGCAAGCAGCGGCTGAGGCTGAAGTTGTCTTTACCAGCACAGCTTCGGAGACTCTTCTTTTCGAGGAGTCCAACGTTCAGGGTCTTGGTCCTGCTGGCGATCTCACCAACGGCGTCAGGCACTTCATCGATATCTCCGTCCCACGCAATGTTGGCTCCTGCGTGGCCAATGTTCAGCAGACCAGGGTGTACAACGTGGATGACCTGAAGGAGGTGGTTGCCGCCAACAAGGAGGAGCGGAGAAAGAAGGCACTGGAGGCTCAGACTATCATTGAGGAGGAGCTTCAGGCCTTCGACGCGTGGAGGGATTCCTTGGAGACGGTTCCTACCATTAAGAAGCTCCGTCAGAAGATCGAGGGTATCCGACAGGCTGAGCTGGACAGAATCCTGGCGAAGATGGGCGAGGAACCGACCAAGAAGCAGAAGAAGCTGATTGAGGAGCTGAGCAAGGGTATTGTGAACAAGATTCTCCACGGACCCATGACCCACCTCAGGAGCGATGGCAGTGATGCAAGGACAGTGAGTGAGACGTTGGAGAACATGAATGCCTTGGAGCGGATGTTCGACCTGGCTGCTGAGGAAGCCAGCGGCCGGCGATGAGTCCTCCGTCCGTCCATAGGTCTTAGACACTCTCCTTTTTGTTGATGTGAAACTGTAAATTAAAGGTGCACCAGTTTTGATAACTATTGGTTTGTTTGCTGTGTTCAATAAGCTCTGGTACGTAATATAGGTACAACCAGACCATCACCATTTACCAACCTTCACTGTAAGGGCGTGTTCCTACGCCTCATATCAGGCAAACCTCATATCAAACTTACCTGATAAAATGTGCCAAGGGTGTCGGGTTTAGGGGGATCTCAGTGAGACTATGATACGGTATCTGGTTTGCCTGATATGAGGCGTAGGCACACGCCCTAATACCCCGCATAAAAGTTTAGAGGGTCACCCACAACGTCAGGTGGTGTCATCTAACTGGCGGAGATGAGGGTGCAGATGGATATCAATGGTGATGAGATGACAAAACTTGCTTACTGCTGTTTGTAACCCCTGCATTTACCATGTCTATAGGTTACTTTCGCTCTAAATTTCTACCCACATGCAGGAACAGTACCGTAGTTACTACTAGATATGCTAGTTACGGTAAGTTTCAGGCATCAAAGGTTGAGACACTCGGAAAATGAATAACATAACCAACCACCATTGTGTTCCATCAAACAAGCACAAGGGTCAATACAGATGCATCGACAGCAGTGATGCACTGATGCCCACATAGAGTGCAGCACTGTACAAAAGAACTACCAATCAACATAGCAGATGGGATCTGGTTCACACTTCATCTGTTATTTCGTGCTTGCGTTTCCATTTAAGCAGTCGCAACTGCCAACACGTCCTTGGCCTTTCCACCATCCTGTGCCTTCCTCAGCTTGATACGGAAGAGAGCCTGCTTGCAGCGAGTCGCATCACACATGCACAAGGCACATGCACCAAGGTCAGAGGAAGCTACACAGGAAAGGTGGCATATGCGAGCTAAATAAAGAAAAGGTGGGTTCAAAAGTGAAGGAGAGAAGGTGGGTTTAACAGTGACAGAGAACTGACCTCGGTGTTGGGTCCAAACTGGAGGGAGTCACCAGGATGCAGGCGTTCAGGGGACCCTGGAGTGAGCTTTGACCGCGCTCCATCCACTCTGCAGCAAGAAGGGGGAAGAGAGAGGGTGCGACAGGAGTGATTAGCTTTGGTGATCAGCATTGGTAACTGGTAAGGAGTAGGAAAGCGCTGAAAAGAGGGTTGTGCATGTTGCCGAGGCCTTACAATTAAGGCCTACCTACAAAACAAGCTACAGCCTTTCGGTTCAGGTGCCCGACAACCCACCTGACAATCCATGTGCCCCAGTAAGCAACCCACCGGACAATCCAGGTGCCCCTGAAAGCAACCCACCTGACAAGCCAGGTGCCCTGGGTCTGGCTGAGGTCCGTGGCATAAAAGGTGTGGTCACTACGACTCTCAATGCGGCAATGCTTCTCCTCCACCTGCCGTTGCCATGCCATACAATGTCGTGCCATGCCATGCCATGCCATGCCATGCCATGCCATGCCATGCCATGCCATGCCATGCCATGTCATGTCATGCCATTTAACCGAGCCACGAAATGCCCATGAAATGATATGTCAAATGCGTAAACGGAAGGTAAAGAAAACGTGAGAATGTAACCTCGTTGAAAAATCTAACACGCAATGCTGGTGCTAGTGCTTGCGCATCCACTTTTGAAACATAACAGCACAAACAGTGTGCTTGATTTGTGGCAAGTGACAGCACAGGCAGAAAGAACGTTGAGATGATGAGTGTGTGTGTGTGAGTGTGTGAGTGTGTGTGTGAGTGTGTGTGTGTGAGTGTGAGTGTGTTGCTGTGTGTGTGTGTGCATGTGAGTGTTGAGCATGAGTTCGAGTGTGTAACGAGGGTACATACCCCAGGCAGTGAGATGACCGCCGCTGTGCCGCTGGCAGGTGCACACTCCGCAGAGCTGCAGAGAAACAAGGGGAAGGAGGGGGAGGTGTGGAGGGGGAGGAGGGGGGCAGCAAAAAGAGAGTTGAGTGCTGCTGTGCCGCTGCACACTCCGCAGAGCTGCAGAGAACGAGCGCGAGGGAGGGAAGGGGTGGAGGGGGCGGGAGGGAAGAGAAACAAGAGGTGAGAGGAAAGGAGTTAGGGGAATACACCAACACTTCTGAAAATTCTCAGGAAGCCACTGGAACATCACTGAACGATGGTGACAGATATATTTCTACAAGAAGCGGATGGCAGAGGTGATGGTGGTAGGGGGGGCGCCTTCAGGGGCCGTGGCAATGGCGAGAGGCAGGACGGGGCGGCCAGAGTCGGTACGGGTGCCGGTGAGGGGCATGCGGTCAGCGGCAGGATGAGACGACCGGCAACCAGAGAATGGGATACAAGAAGAAAGGAACAGGGCAAGGAGATACAACAAGGGGAGTCTCACCCAACGACGGTGATAGCAGAGGTGATGGTGGTAGGGGGGGCGCCTTCAGGAGTGGTGGCAATGGCAAGAGGCAGGATGGGGCGGCCAGAGTCAGTGCGGGTGCCGGTGAGGGGCATGCGGTCAGCAGCAGGCAGCAGGAACCACTCGGCATCGGTTGCTCTCTCCAATGCGTCGTCATCCTCCATCCACTTGGCCAGATTCGAATCCGCCTGGCGAGGAGGGGGGAGGGGGGTATGACGAGGAAGGGAGCAGAGGGGGGGGGGCAAGCAACCAAGACTGCTCCAATGCATCGTCATCCTCCATCCACTTGGCTAGGTTCGAGTCCGCCTGGTGGTGAGGTGGGGCGAGGTGAGGGGGTGTGAGAAGAGTGGGGGAGGTGAAATGGAAGAGTGAAATCAACTAGGCGCCCTCCACCTCTATTGCTCGCTCCAATGCGTCGTCATCTTCCATCCACTTGGCCAGATTTGAATCCGCCTGGCAACGTGCGGAGAGGGGGAATGTGGAGGGGAGAATCACGTGAAATGAGTCAACTATCTCACTGACTAACAGAAACGAAAAGAGTATCTCCCTCGTGCCTCTACAATCTGCATACCTCCCCACTACTTCCCACTCGTTCCCATTACTCACCCTGTCTGTGATTCGGCAGTAGGGTGCCCGGCCCTCCAATGCAAACCTGTAGGGGTGGAGAGGGAGGGGTGACGATGGCAAGAGATGAGAGTGAGTGGGGAACGGGGTCGGAGAGAGGAGGCGGAGGGATGGAGGATAGGGAGGGGAATGATGAGGAGAATAAGAAACGCTCGAGGAGAGGAGGAAGGGAGTTGATCTGATCTATCATTGTCTGTGAGCACCCAGTTGAGCATGGACGGCATGAACAGCTTCATCCACCTGCTGACTTGACCACCCACGCTCATCCCCACCCCACTCCACCCCACCCCACCCCACCCCACCCCACCCCACCGCACTCCACCACTCACGTGTTCCCGGTGAGCACCCATTTGAGCATGGAGGGCATGAACAGCTTCATCACCACCTGCTGACTCGACCACCCACGCCCATCCCCACCCTACCCCACCCTACCACTCACGTGCTGACATCCACCCCATCCCACCACTCACGTGCTGCCATCCACCCCATCCCACCACTCACGTGCTGCCATCCACCCCATCCCACCACTCACGTGCTGACATCCACCCCATCCCACCACTCACGTGCTGACATCCACCCCATCCCACCACTCACGTGCTGCCATCCACCCCATCCCACCACTCACGTGCTGCCATACACCCGCCTGCTGCTCTGATGGCGCTAACCTGCACCCACTCACGTACTACCCACATACCCACAGAACCCACACCCACTCACGTGCTGCCATCCACCCCATCCCACCACTCACGTGCTGCCATCCACCCCATCCCACCACTCACGTGCTGCCATACACCCGCCTGCTGCTCTGATGGTGCTAACCTGCACCCACTCACGTACTACCCACATACCCACAGAACCCACACCCACTCACGTGCTGCCATACACCCGCCTGCTGCTCTGATGGCGCTAACCTGCACCCACTCACGTACTACCCACATACCCACAGAACCCACACGCACTCACGTACTACCCACATACCCACAGAACCCACACCCACTCACGTACTACCCACATACCCACAGAACCCACACCCACTCACGTGCTGCCTGTGAGCACCCATTTGAGCATAGCGGGCATGACTCGACACCCACGCCCATCCCCACCCCACTCCACCCCACCCCACCGCACTCCACCACTCACGTGTTCCCAGTGAGCACCCATTTGAGCATGGAGGGCATGAAGAGCTTCATCACCACCTGCCCGCCCATCTTGCCCCAATGCGGAATGCGCCAGTTCACCAGCCACTGGGGGTGGGTGGGGCGGAGAGGAGGGGGAAGGGACGAGGGTGAATGGTTGGCAATGAGGCGGAGGCAGTGGGTAATACTCTGCCGAACAGCTTCATCACCACCTGCCCGCCCATCTTGCCCCAATGGGGAATACGCCAGTTCACCAGCCACTGTGCGGGGAGGGGAGAGGCGGGGGGGAGAGGGGGAAGGGGGACAAAGGGGGGACGGTTAACTGGAGAGGTGAAGCCAGTGCGGAATGCGCCAGCCCATATAATTTAGTAATGAGGAGTCTCACTCAATGGGGAAACGCACCACTTCACCAGCAGGTGGGGAAAAAAGAGGGGTGGGAGGGGGAAAGGGAGTACTCACCGAGAGTACTCATTGGCTGATTCACACACACACACACGGAAAATCTACTCACAGAGAGTGGAGCAAAGCCCTCCCCCAGGTACGCCCGGTAGGTGGAGGCCATGATGGCAGCGGTGCGTGCCATGCTGTGCACGGCTCCCACTCTCACCCTCACTCTCTTACCCCCCTCTGCAGCCTTCCTCATTCAAACCCACAGAGAGCAGAGCTCACGGTCTGACTGACTCACAGAGAGTGGAGCAAAGCCCTCCCCCAGGTACGCCCTGTAAGTTGAGGCCATGATAGCAGCAGTGCGCGCCATGCCGTGCACCGCCCCCACTCTCAGCCGCCTCTCCGCCTCATACTGCTGCACAACACCCGCCACGTCCATGTGCTGCCGAACCACGCCGCCCTTGCTGGCTGTTTTCTTTCTTGCCCCTTCCACTGCTTTCTCTAGGTCCAAGGCCAGTTGAAAGCCGTCCTGGGAGAGAAGGGGGAGGGGGAGGGGATGGACGATGGGGAACGAGCGGAGGGGAGGTAGGTGGGGTAGATCAGATTGAAGGCAAGATCCAACGGCAGTTGAAAGCCGTCCTGGAAGAGAAGGGAGGAGATGAGCAAAGGGGTGAGTCAGTGAGCGAGTTGGAAAAGAGGGAGGTAGCGAGGGAGAAAGGAGTGAGGCCCTTCACCACGACGCACGTTCAAGGTCTAGAGAAACGGCTCACCTCGATGGCCATGCACCCGCCCTGCCCCATGTTGGGCTGCATGGCATGCGCCGCATCGCCCATGAGTGTAACCCTCCCCTTGCTCCACGTCAGAATGGGGATGCGGTCGTAGATGTCGCGCCTGAGCACGTCCTCCTCAGGGGTGGCCTGAATGAGGTCCACCACCCCGTCCGCCCACTTGCCAAACAGCTCCATCAGCCGCTGCTTGCGACCTACGGAGTGGGGGAAAGGAGGGGGTGACACGGGGAGAGTGGGAGGGGGGAGAAGGGGAGGGGATGGGTGGCCTGAATGAGGTCCACCACCCCGTCCGCCCACTTGCCAAACAGCTCCATCAGCCGCTGCTTGCGACCTACGGAGTGGGGGAAAGGAGGGGGTGACACGGGGAGAGTGGGAGGGGGGAAAAGGGGAGGGGATGGGTGGCCTGAATGAGGTCCACAACCCCGTCCGCCCACTTGCCAAACAGCTCCATCAGCCTCGCCTTGCGACCTTTAGGGAGGAGGGAGGGGGAGGAGAGAGAAAATGGGGGAGAGGGAGAGGGTGTGAGAGAGATTGGGAGTCGCAGACAAAGGGAGACGCAGAGGACGCAGAGGGACACACGGAGACACAAGAGAGGGACAGAGAGAGGGAGGGAGCGAGGGAGGGGATGGTAATGCGTTCTTAGATGTCTCGCCTCGGCACCAGGTGAGGTGAGGAAGCGAGGGCGAGTGAGGGGCAGAGAGACTTGAAGAGGAGCCATGCAGACAGTGTGGTAGCGGAGTGGGGAAGCCTGGCAGCACTCACAGCCGGGGGGGTCGGAGCCGCCAGCAGGCTCGTTGTAAAAGGCGTACCACTGCATCTTGCCGCCCAGCCTCTCAGCACCCACTCTACGTACCGCACGCGTGTACAAAGAATCACTCTACCTACCGCACAGCTGTACAAAGAATCACGCTACCTACCGCACAGCTGTACAAAGAATCACTCTACCTACCGCACGCGTGTACAAAGAATCACTCTACCTACCGCACGCGTGTACAAAGAATCACTCTACCTACCGCACGCGTGTACAAAGAATCACTCTACCTACCGCACAGCTGTACAAAGAATCACTCTACCTACCGCACAGCTGTACAAAGAATCACTCTACCTACCGCACAGCTGTACAAAGAATCACTCTACCTACCGCACAGCTGTACAAAGAATCACTCTACCTACCGCACGCGTGTACAAAGAATCACTCTACCTACCGCACAGCTGTACAAAGAATCACTCTACCTACCGCACAGCTGTACAAAGAATCACTCTACCTACCGCACAGCTGTACAAAGAATCACTCTACCTACCGCACAGCTGTACAAAGAATCACTCTACCTACCGCACAGCTGTACAAAGAATCACTCTACCTACCGCACAGCTGTACAAAGAATCACTCTACCTACCGCACAGCTGTACAAAGAATCACTCTACCTACCGCACAGCTGTACAAAGAATCACTCTACCTACCGCACAGCTGTACAAAGAATCACTCTACCTACCGCACAGCTGTACAAAGAATCACTCTACCTACCGCACAGCTGTACAAAGAATCACTCTACCTACCGCACAGCTGTACAAAGAATCACTCTACCTACCGCACAGCTGTACAAAGAATCACTCTACCTACCGCACAGCTGTACAAAGAATCACTCTACCTACCGCACAGCTGTACAAAGAATCACTCTACCTACCGCACAGCTGTACAAAGAATCACTCTACCTACCGCACAGCTGTACAAAGAATCACTCTACCTACCGCACAGCTGTACAAAGAATCACTCTACCTACCGCACAGCTGTACAAAGAATCACTCTACCTACCGCACAGCTGTACAGCACCCACTTACAGACAGGGGGGTCGGAGCCGCCAGCAGGCTCGTTGTAGAAAGCGTACCACTGCATCTTGAACATAATCTCAACAGAACTGTGCACCACCCACTCACAGCACGCCACCGAGCCTGGCAGCAGCAATTACTCATGACTGTGTCAAACAGACTCACAGCCAGGGGGGTCGGAGCCGCCAGCAGGCTCGTTGTAGAAAGCGTACCACTGCATCTTGCCAAACCCCACGTCGCTGCTCACAAAGTACTGCCGGTGGCCCAGAAACACGCGGTACCTGGCGGTTGGGGGAGATTGGGGGGGGTAGAGGGGGAAAGAGGGGTGGAAAGGGGGAGTTGGGGTAGAGGGGTTAAAGGTTCGCTGCTCGAAAAGTACTGCTGGTGCCCCAGAAACACACGGTACCTGGTGGGGGAAGAGAGGGTGGTGGTTGGGGGGGAGAGGGAGGGGAGGGGTAAGGATGTTTGAGCCCTGCGGCACGGTCCCCGGCGGCCGTAACAGCACGAGCAGTTTCAATAGGTCTTCTCAGAAGCACAAGACTTGTTTCTTTCAGCAGAGGAAGTGCAATAATGCCAACAGCAAGGCACTCACCCCACGGTCTCGATGTCGTGTGGCACAAGTCACAAATGCCCGTGTAGCACGTGTAGTCCGAATAGGTGGGCTTGATTAAGCAGCAGGCTCTATCAGCAGCAGACGAGGGAATGATTTCAGAAGCCACTGCACTGCACTCACCCCACGGTCTCAATGTCATGAGGCACAAAGTCACAGATGCCCGTGTAGCACGTGTAGTCCGAATAGGTGGGCTCTGTCACTCCCAACAGCAAGTCCCGCACCTGCATCCATGCACCAAAGACGGCGGCACAGCAAGACAGTCAAGAGTGCAAGAGCGAGCACAAGTGAGTTTTGAGTGAGCTTATTGGCTACGTCACTCCTAGAAGCAAGTCCCGCACCTACATCCATGCACCCATGCATCCATGCACCCATGCACCCGTGCACCAGATACAAAAAGGCAGCAAGGCAATACGACAGCAGGAGAGCACAAATGGCCTATGGTTGACTTAAAGTGATCTTGTCACGTTCCGTTCCTCCACACAGCCCCATTCCACTACTTGAGTCAACTCAGACGTATTCTACCCACCCATAAGCACGACCTCATCCCCGCACATCTTAGGCCACTCGTCAACCTCCTAAGCTGGTAATCTCCTAAGCTCCTCAGCTGGTGATCCACTTGGCTTCCCCTGCCTCACGCCCCCGGTATGCCCCATGACCTCGAACCAAATCGTGTCAAGCTCTGGACAGTTTCAGAGCCGGACATTCGAAAGTATGATACCACGGGCGCACGCACGCACCTTGGAGCGAATGCCGTCAGCGCCAACCAGCATGTCGCCATAAACCGTGCTGCCGTCACTCAGCTTCACGGCCACCTGGTGGACGAGAGGGGGAGCGGGTGGGCAGGGGGAGAAGAGGGAGCGGGGGGTGGGTTGAAGCGTGGGAGGCGTGGAGATGCTATCAGCCTGTTGCCGTCACTCAGCTTCACCGCCACCTAGTGGTGTGCGGTGGGGAGGGTTCGGTTCGGACGGACGTTGTTATGCGCATGCGTTGACACGAAAACATGGCAGATGGAAAGGGGGAGAGGAGGGGAAAGAAGGAGAGGGTGTGACGAGCTTGATTACTAGAGGTGGAAATTTAATTCTACTTGGTGGCACGATCGCGCCCTGCTCCTCATCATAGGCAACGCACCTGCTTGCCCTGGTCTTCGAAGTCAACGACGGTCAACCCGTTTCTAATGATGCCCTCGCCAACAGCGTCCACGAGGATCTGCTGGAGAGTCATGCGGCTGATCACGCGCGTCACTGGTAACCCGCCCTCCGCCGCTGGCGTGAACGTGTCGAACTTCACGTACCTGATGGGATTAGAGGGATTACAGGGAGATACGGCAATAGTGAACCTGGTGAGGATTCTTCAAGGTTCGATAGTAACCGGCCCTTCGCCGCTGGAGTGAACGTGTCGAACTTGACCTACCTGATGGGATTAGGGGGATGACAGAGAGATGGATGGGAGTAAGGGTAAACATGATGGAGCGGCTCGGAGGGTCGCTGGTAACCGGCCCTTTGCTACTGGTATGAACGTGTCGAACTTGACGTACCGGATGTGATTCGGGATTACAGGGAGATGAGAGAAAACGACATGGTGGTGATGCTTTAAGGTTAACGGTAGTTAGAGTCTCTTTGTTTGTGTTTTCATTTTATTTGTTTTTGTTCTGTCCTTTGGAAAAAAATACTGCAAACAGTCTTACAGCGACTGTCGCACGCACCACTCGCCGGTGAGGCCGTCGCAGAGCCCGTTGATGCGGTCGCCCGTGATGCACCCCGCCGCCATGACCTCCTCCGCCACGCGCAGGTCCACCGCCTCCAGCGCCGCCAGCGCGTTGCTCTGCACCTGAATCGGCCCGCGGTACTGCCCCTCGCCGCGAATCGCGGTCAGATCCCGCTCATAGACCTGATGGGTGCGCAGCACGAAGGGGGGGTGGTGGGGTGTGGGAGGGAGGGGGGGAGGGAAGAAGAAAGAAGGAGGGAGAGGGGAAGGGGATGAACAGGGGAGAGGCAACGTGGAAAGGTCCTGTCTATATTGAGGAAGTTAGGCCTTACTACGACGAAAAGGAATAGAACAAGCTGTAGTTCGGTAACCTATCCGAAGAAGCATGTAAATTACTTGGTTGCTGATTACCTCCACGTCAATCCCACGGTTCTTGCACGACAGCGCAAACACCAGACCGCCGATTCCCGCTCCCGCCACAATCACTTTGAACGGAGACTTGGCGAGTTCTGCGTCCAGCCCGCTCGACCCCGAATCCGCGACCCGGGAAGGCGCATCGCTGACGGCTGTAGCTCGAACGGCTGTAGCGCGATTCGAGGGGAGTCGACGGGAGAGCGAGCGTTTGCTGCTAGAACCTAGCCGTCTCTGGAGGGTGACAGCGTTGTGAGAGGAACTGAGTGGAATCGCGGCGGCTGTGACGCGCTCGCGCGCGAGAAGACTCCGTTGGAGGGGAGCGACGTGAGAAGCCATCACAGCGTTTTCCTGCTTTTTCCGTAAGTGGACTTGCGCAAGGAGTGAGTTACTGCCTGAAAGGGTAGCGAGCCGGAAGAAAGAACGTTTCGCAGCGAAGCTAATGCTGGAAATGAGAGTACGCTGATACGTAGTCTGATCACAGCACAAGCAGACCGTCCTACGCAACCCAAGAACAGGGCAAGGATGGAGCTTTCTTGTGGACTGTTGCGGTGGTAGTGAGGTGAGTGAGCTGTGGTGGTGTGGTATTCTCGTGGTAATCTGTTGTCGCAGAGGAAAGACAGCTTAGAAAGGATCGCTCACTGGTGTTGCTTGCTGCTGCTGTGCTGCTCTGGTGTTCCACCCTGCTGCTGACTCAACTCGAGGGGAAATTCCGAAGGGTGGAAGGACAATGATTTTCGAATTTCGCGAACAACTACCCTCGGTGAAGAGAAGTCGGAGCTTCGAAACTTGTGTTTTTCCTTCGTGGTTTACATTGTAATCGTGTTCAAACAGTTTTCAGGGGGCCAGGTGGAGAGCCCCCTAAGCAATAGCCGACAAATTTCCGACGGTCTTACACCTACAAAAGGGCAGTTAAGTTGGAAAATTAGCCTCGAAAGCGTCACAAAAGAAGCTGTGCCATGTCATCCCAGCATCCTTGAAGAATATATGCTGCAGCCACGTGGATGAATAGCCTGCCCTAAGAAGCCCAAATCAGTGGAAGAGAATACGTCAGCCAATACAAGGCGAATACGACTCAGGCCTGGGATGTGCTCGTATCAGCGCTGTCAAGTGCCTCAGCGCTCCGATTCGTCAACTGCGACACGTGAAATGATTGCAGACGAGGGCGTGGTTTGGACCTTCCAACCAAGGACAGGGGCTTTGTACTCGCTAGGAGAATCTACTCCGTCAGTCGGCCTGTCGCCGATAACTACATTCGACATGATATCCCTCATTCATCTGAGTGAGCAAAAACGGGCTAACCTTTGTGACCAGGGCCCAAAATTTGGTTTTGGGCCACTCTTGCTAATCAGGGTATTACCCCCAGTACCCTGACCTCTAGGGTATTTTTTTCCGTACACTGATGGCAGCAGCCTAAAACTTTCCATACACTGATAGTATCAGGGTAATAATGTTGATACCCTGTTTTTGGTGCAAGAAAGCCAATACATACATTTCTCAATTACCAGTCCACATACTTAAACAACCAGTGCAATCACAACAACCACTCCGTGTCAGGGGCACTGGCAATTACTTCTTCATCTGTAAACTGGGCTTCGCTTGCCTTGGTCCCTGCGAAGTGCTTAGTCGCTCGTCTCTGCTTCTCTCCGCGGAAGATGGCGACCACCTCGTACCAGTCGGTGTCGTACTGCACGAGAGAGCATCGCATCAGGTGCTCTAGGCTAGTGTCGCCAAGGCTGCCGCGTCCCCACGTCTTGATCAAGTTCTGCTTGCTAAATCCGCGCTCGCATTCGACCGTGCTCAATGGCAGCACGGTCACGGACTGCCAGATGCGCATGATGTTGGGAAACGACGTACGCCACGCGTCGTCGCGCAGCATGTTCCCCAGCGCCTGATGGAACTCCTCGTTGTTGTGTTGGGAGAACATCGTGGATGTGAACATCCACAGTTCCTGGCCGGCCCGTTTATAGTCAAAGCCTGTTAAGGGGGGCCGGGGTGGAGACTTGGGCTATGCGAGCAGACACGGGTAGGAGTGGGGGGCATTAGTCCAACAAGAACAATAGTGGACTACAAGTACGAGTAACGCATGTGGCAGTGGTAAAGCATGAGATAGAGCAGCAGATAGCAAACTAATCAACCATGCTACTTACCTGTCAGTTTGTGGTTGTAGAGTTTGTGCAACTGGCCGAGCCACTTCTTGAACGATTCCAGTCGCTTGGAATCATCCGAAACGTACAAAGATGTGCGAAACAGCTTTGAACCTTTCAGTAGGTTGAGGTCGCGCATGCGCCACTCCAACTCAGCGTCCACGGCACGGATGAATTTCAACGGAAGCTCAAAGCAGGCGGTGACATCGCCATCAGTCTCATGGTCAGGCAGTGGCCGCTCGTGCAGTTCGAAGATACAGGAGACGGGATTCCCGTCTCCGTCGACACCCTCCGCCTTCATCTTTCTGTTCTCCATCTTCTGGTGTGCCTTGATGAAGTCAGGAGCTGCATTTTCTCACCGCTGCCGAACGAGTGCCCGGGGGACCTGTCGAAGTATCGTGCCTTGAGGCGCATCCTCGTTTGCTGCACGATGTGCGCCACGAGGGTGACATCGACCTGCACAGTGGCGACAGATGCTTTCAGTTCGTTGTCGCATGCACGGCCCAGTCTATACTAGTGCTTAAACAACCCGTACCTGGCGTTGCTGGAAGCGTTGGTTTAGTTGGTTGAGCTCCCACAGCACATCCGCAAGGAAGCGGATGAGCCAGTGGAACTTGAACGAGGTTACCACCTCGTACAGCTCCGCCTTGTAGTCCTTCAACACCACGATGGCTGCAAGGAGTACATCGAGCAGTCGTTGAACCGCCTCACCACGGGAGAGCCAGCGCACGGCGTGGATCCCCTGCGCATCCAAGTTAGTCTGGCAGAAGATCTGCTGCAGGTTCTGAAACTTCGTGTAATGAACGCTGCTGCGGCCGATGTGCTCTGCGAACGCCCCCACCACATCGTCCACCATGCGAAGTTCCGGGACTGCATCAGCGGCATCACGGGCTGCGAGGGCCTCCCTGCGAGAGAAAACAACGCCGTCAAATACAAGTACGTTTACCAATCATCAAATACATAACCAACGATTAACAAGTCGGTCACAAACTCACCTATGCGCAATACAGTGGATTGATGACAGGTGTGGAATGCGCATTCGCAGCCTCGCAACCACCCCGTTGTTCTTCCCGACCATCACGTTCGCCCCGTCTGTGGAGATCCCTGAGATCTTCTAGAGGTCAATGCCGATCGCTGTGAGGTACTGCACGACGGCAGCGGTGAGAGAGGTGTCAAAGTATATGCATGTTACATATGTGTAGGCTGTAGTGGGGTAGCCAATATGGGGTACAGCCCCTTTTAGGGTTTCATACTTGTACCCAACTCTTTCATAGTTCATCCATTCCTGCTGCTAGATTCTGACATGGTTTCAGAGCACTAGGTCCGTAGGACCGTTTTTTTTTTCGGGCCCACCTACCGTTGCGGTTACCGCGCTACCCCACGTGTTGTCCTGCGCCTGCCTGCCTTGCCTTGTGACGTGCTGCGCTGCGCGCGCCGTCCTGCAGCCCTCGTGCTGCCTACTGCTGCCCTAGGCCAGAGCGCCGCCCCTGCAGGCCCGTAAGGCCCACGCGCCGCCCCTGCAGACACGTCAGGCCCGCGAGCCGCCCCTGCAGGCCCGTCAGGCCAGAGCGCCGCCCCGCCAGGTCGCTGCCCTGCGCGTCGCGCCCACAGCCCGCGCGTCGCGCTGCAGCCCCGCACATCGCGTCCGCTGCCCGCGCGTCGCGCTGCAGCCCCGCGCGTCGCGTTCGCTGCCCGTGCGTCGCGCTACAGCCCTGCGCGCCGCGGCTGCCGTCCTCGCGCAGCCCGCGGCGGCTTCGCGCGCCGCGTCCGCAGCTTGCATAGCGCGCTGCAGCCCCGCGCGCCGCGGCTGCCTCTGGACGCCGCCGTCGCTCCTGCAGCAGCTGCCGCGGAGCGCCCTGCCAAAGTCGCGGCCCCGCCCTGCAGCAGTTGCCGCGGAGCCTTCTGCCGCCGTCGCGGCCCTGCCCTGCAGCAGCTGCTGCGGCTGCCGCGGAACCTTCTGCCGCGGTAGCGGCCCCGCCCTGCAGCAGCTGCCGCGGAGCCTCCTGCCGCCGTCGCGGCCCTGCCCTGCAGCAGCTGCCGCGGAGCCTTCTGCCGCTGTCACGTCCCCGCCCTGCAGCAGCTGTCGCGGACCTGCCCTACCTCCGACGCGGTCCCGCTCTGTCACAGCTGTAAGGCCCCGCCTTCGCCGCCGTCGTGCGCCTGCCCTTCCCGCCACTGGTGAGCACCTGCCTACCTGCCTTCCTGCCTGCCTGCCACGCCTGCCTGCCTGCCTGCCTACCGCGCCTGCCCTGCCCGCGCTACTACTACTGCTAGGCTGCTGCTGCTGCTGCTGCTGCTACTACTACTGCTACTGCTGCTACTGGCGGTGGCCAGATGCAGCTCCAGCGACGTTCACGCGAGTCTCTCACGCCCCAGCAGCTTAGTGAGTGGTACGCTAGTTGGGGTTGTGGCGGTCGCCGTCGTAGCTGTCGCCCTGGAGCTGGTCAGTTGGGAGCGTCTGGCAGTGGCCAGCTGCAGCTGCAGCGGCGTCCACGCGAGAAACTTACGTCCCAGCAGCTTCACGAGTGGTACGCTCAGAGTAGAGGGTCTTTGAGTACCGTTCGCTGCCCGTACGTCATTCGCACAGGTGATCGGGCCGGTCAGGCTTGCGGGACGCTTGGTCACACACAGTCCCGCTGCTTCGCCCGTCTGAGCGACGCCTGGCGTACCGAGTTTGGCGACGAGGCTGAGCTCCCCACCTGGCTGGAGCTGCTTGGACAGAGGGTAGATATCTTTGCTCTTGACTATGATGCTATTCTCACTGCCATGTATGCATTGCCTACTAGTGCTGACCGTGCCTGTTCCCTGTGCGTACCGCCTGACCCAGGTATAGAGCCTGCTGCTCTAGGTGCTGGTGAGGCTGCTGCTCTAGGTGCTAGTGCGTCTCCTGCTCTAGGTACTGGTGAGGCTGCTGCTCCAGGTGCTGGTGAGTCTGCTCTCTCTGGTACTGCGCCTGCTAAGGCCTTGTACACCTTCACACTTGACTCAAGTGCTTCCCGCTCCTTCTTTCGCGACAGCACCACCCTCACGCCGCTCCGTCGGTCGGTTGCAGTCTCCCTGGCAGACCCCTCTGGGGGTCCAGTCCTTGCGCACTCCTCCACGGTCCTGCCGTGTCCGGCGGTCCCGTCTGGCTCCCTGTCAGGTCTTCACCTCCCCTTGTTCTCTACGAACTTGGTGAGTGGAGCTGACCTACAGGATGTGTGGGTTGAACAGTTCACCCCTGGAGGTCAGCGTGTGACCCACTGTACGTGCTCCCGGACTGGTCGGCACCTGGCCACGTTCACCCGAGCGCCTGGCTCGAGTCTGTACACACTGACCACTGTGTCCCCTCAGGTAGCTGCGTCTGCGTCTGCGTTTGCGTCATGTCAGCTAGCGGCCCCCTGTTTGTGTCGCGCTTTGTTGCACCAGACCGTCCTGTGGCACCACCGCCTTGGTCACCCCTCGGTGCAGCGCCTTCGTAGCATGCACCGCCGTTTCCTTGTCTCTGGACTTCCAGAGACTCTGCCTCCTCTACCACCCTCGCCTGCTCCTCCCTGTCTTCCCTGTGTCGAGGGGCGGCAGCGCGCCGCTCCTCACTCCTCCTCGTTCCCTCCCACAGAGGCTCCCCTGCAGACTCTCCACCTGGACGTGTGGGGCCCAGCCCGCGTCCGTGGACAGGGCCACGAGCGGTACTTCCTGCTGGTCGTCGACGACTACACGCGTTACACCATGGTCTTCCCCTTGCGCAGCAAGGGGGAGGTCCCTGATGTTTTGATCCCCTGGATCCGCGCTGTTCGTCTCCAGCTCCGCGAGCGGTTCCAGTTGGACTTTCCTGTCCTGCGTCTGCACTCTGACAGAGGTGGTGAGTTCTCCTCAGACCTCTTGGCAGCCTTCTGTGCGGAGCACGGCATCCGCCAGACGTTCACGCTTCCGGCCTCTCCGCAGCAGAATGGGGTTGCTGAGCGCCGCATTGGCTTAGTCATGGAGGTCGCTCGTACCTCCATGATCCATCCTCAGACCTCTTGGCAGCCTTCTGTGCGGAGCACGGCATCCGCCAGACGTTCACGCTTCCGGCCTCTCCGCAGCAGAATGGGGTTGCTGAGCGCCGCATTGGCTTAGTCATGGAGGTCGCTCGTACCTCCATGATCCATGCGGCTGCCCCCCATTTTCTGTGGCCGTTTGCGGTCCGGTACGCCGCGCATCAGCTCAACCTCTGGCCCCGTGTCTCCTTGCCGGAGACCTCGCCCACACTGCTGTGGACGGGGAAGGTTGGCGATGCGTCGCGTTTCCGGGTCTGGGGTGCTCGTGCCTTTGTCCGCGATACCACCGCGGACAAGCTCTCCGCCCGCGCTGTTCCCTGTGTCTTCCTTGGCTTTGTCCCTGACGCGCCTGGTTGGCAGTTTTACCACCCCACCTCGCGCCGTGTCTTCCCCTCTCAGGACGTCACGTTCGACGAGTCGGTTCCCTTTTACCGTCTCTTCCCCTACCGCACTGCCCCTCTCCCCCCACCGCCGCTCTTCCTCGCTCCAAGTGCTCCCCAGGTAGACCCCCTCCCCGCTCCCGGTCCTGCTCCTTCAGGTGTGTCTCAGGTAGACCCTCCTCCCTTGACTGAGCCGGTTGAGGTCACTGGTGACTCAGGTCCTGCTGAGGGTGGTCCTGCTCGGGGTGCTGCTGCTGAGGGTGCTGAGCCTGGGGGTGCGGAGCCTTGGGGTGCTGAGCCTGGGGGTGCGGAGCCTGGAGGTGCGGAGCCTGGGGGTGCGGAGCCTGGGGGTGCGGAGACTGGAGGTGCTGAGCCTGGGTGTGAGGAGTCTGGGGGTGCTGAGCCTGGGGGTACTGAGTCTGGGGGTGCTGCACCTGGGGGCGCTGAAGCATCTGGTGAGCAGTCTCCCTGGAGCGGCCATCTCCGTAGTCGCTCCGCTGGTGCCTCGCCGCTGCACTCTCGTCGTCGACTCCCTCTCTCCCCACAGCAGCTGCTTGAGTGGTACGTTGACCGTCAGGGTCGCGCTGCTGGAGCTAGGGGCCCTGCTGCGGGAGGCGCTGGAGCTGGTGACTCTGCTACTGGAGTTGTTTCTGCTGGAGGTTCTGGAGCTTCTGAGGCTGCTGGAGCTGGAGGTTCTGGAGCTGCTGGAGGTGCTGGCGCTGGTGGCGCTGGAGCTGGAGGTTTTGGAGCTACTGAGGGTGCTGGAGCTGGAGGTTCTGGAGATGCTGGAGGTGCTGGCACTGGTGGCGCTGGAGCTGGAGGTTCTGGAGCTGCTGAGGGTGCTGGCACTGGAGGTTCTGGAGCTGCTGCGGGTGCTGGCGCTGAGGGCTCTGAGTCTGCTGTTACGCGGTCTCCTTGGAGTAGCCGCCTTCGTCCGCATGTGCCTCTCACCTCACAGCAGCTGCACGACTGGTACGGTCCGCCGTCAGGGTCGCGCTTCTGGAGCTCGGGGCTCTGCCGTAGGAGGTACTTCTGCTGACGTCACTGGAGCTGGGAGTGGTGCTGGTCCCGGAGGTGCTCGTACTGGACGTACTGGAGCTGCTGGGGCTGGAGGTGCTGAGCCTGAGGGTGCTACTGCTGGAGACCCTGGGTCTGGGGGTGCTGCTGCTGAAGACACGGAGGCTGTAGACCCTGGGACTGGAGGTGCCGGTTCTGGGGGTGCTGCTGTTGGTGGAGCTGGTCCTGGAGGAGCTTGCGCTGAGGGTTCTGGAGCTGCTGGAGGTGCTGGAGCTGCTGGGGGTACTGGAGCTGCTGGTGCAGGTGTCACTGCACAGCCGCGCTTGTTCTTCGCTCCACCGTCTCCGTCGTCTCAGCCACCGCCTGACTCTGTGCTTCGCCAGGTTCTTAGTCTCCCTTCGTCTACTGGTCTTCCGTTACAGCCTGGCTCACCGCTGCCT